ACTGGCAGTGAGTTTGACACTTGACCGCTTGGCTAACCAGCTTCAGTCCTGCCACAGCCATTAGATGAGCCATTCGTATTTCCAGACATCAGAGATTAACCTGACAATCTCACGGAGTATGTTCGAGGTCAACAGCAGCAGCTCCAGACGCAAATCGCTCAAGCTGTGTTTTGTGCGTCTCTTCATTCATCATAACGCTGCTGCGTTTTTCGAGCCTATCCCTCCAGCCGTTGTGCGCAAGCTTCGTAGACCAGAAGAGTACGTGCTTTCCCCATCAGACAAAAAGAGGAGCGAAGATGCGCAAGCTTCTTTTTCTTTTGCAACGATGTGAAATTGTGAACTATCTCTGATTGCATGATGTGCTGAAGTTTTGTGAGTTTGGCTGAGCATAGCTAAAATAAGGCTCGCTACTTTTCACAATGAAGCCAGACCAAAGAATGATGTGCTCGCAGGTTGAAGGGTTCATGAATGAACCTGGAGAGTTTTTGCGCACCAGATTGGCTGCTGAACATGCTGCTCGGTTCCCGTACATGGCTTTGGACCACATCTTCCAATGGAATGAAGAAGAGCGGCGAACTTTGCGCACTTTGCGGTGATTGTGTGCAGTGGCCGGTGGGAAGAGAATTGGGATGAAAATGTAGCTGGGTAAATTGAAGCTGGCGAAGTGTAAGGATGAACGCTTGGGAGCTTGAGCGGTGGTACTGTTGGAGGGTGCCGCTGCTGTGTGCGCTGTGTGCGCTTGGGTGCTGGGAACCGCTTGCACTGGTGTCACTGCAGGGTGCCGCTCGAAGGTGCTGTGCGCCTGCAGCGTGCTGCAGAATGCCCTTGGGGTGTGGCTGCAGGGTGCTGCCTGCCGAAATCTTCTTGCTATCTGCGGTCATGTTGGCGTAATTCTTTTGGCATCCCTTTGCCATTCGGCACACCCAGGGAACACGCGATACCATTCAAAATGCATGAACCACATTTTTGTGCTCTTTCCAATGGAACACATGTTCCAGGAATCAAATCTAGAGGAACCAGACGTCAAAAAAAAAAACTCATAGGGACGAAGATCGAAAAAAATAAACAAACACCAGGGTTATCTCCAGCAGGGCCGTGGGAGAAGTGTGAAGGGCCCCAAAAAAACATGGGGTAAACATGTGCGATGCCCCCAACTTGCTTTGTCGATTGCCCTTCCGCCTTGATGGGGGCTTCCATAGCAATGTGTGGTGGAACATGGAAGCGTGCCATGTGCCATGTGATGTGTGTGACATGGCGAGCTTGGCGAGCCTGGCGAATGACAAAGCAACCCAGAAGGAAAACAACCATCAAACATGTCGATTCTCAGTGTGAGCCTTGAACGATCTCAGTGTTTCTTGTTGTTTCCACCTCATCTGCGTGTTCTTTCTCAAACATGTTTTGCGGTGGAGATGCGGAGGATCAAAGGAGCCACTGCAGAGAGCCAACGATCCCAAAAAAACAAAAACACACACACACACATGTCGGCCAGATTGATGAGATGAAATGTTTGATCCTGTAAGTAAACCTAAGTTGGATATCGAACATTTTTGTGCGTGCCCGGAACAGTTTTGTTGTCTGTCGGTTCCTGTCGACCATGACGTCGAGGGGGCTTCCATGACAGATGTCGACCTTTGCGATCATTCATTTTCAAGCTTTAGGAGTAGGACGTGTTTAGGTGGGGATGTTGCTCTCAGGAATTCTTTTGGGACGCGCTCCGAGCCGGGAATCCCTGGAAACGTCGAGTGCGCGGTGCATGGGAGGGTGCGCGTCTCTTTTTTTAACGGACCATCGGGGAGTGTGGGCCATCAAACTGGGAGTTCACCTGGCCCATCTCGATTTTCAATCTGTTAAGGAGGCAAGGAGGGTGAATTCCAGTTCCACAACTGTTCGTGGATTTTGGATCCTTCATAATGTATCTGCACGCAATGCTCAGAGGCAACGGCCTAGCTGAAGATGGGTCGGCTAGTTGGAGAAATTGGAGGGATTTTGGGAGATTGGAGTAGAGATTCACAAAAGGTTCCTAGGAATCTTTAGACTGTCCGAATACTGTGACACTGACATGGGTGTATCCAACCAGCATCCTCTCAAACCAGAATTATCCGAATTCTGATGGCCCAAAAGAGGTGCTGCAGGATCCCCCTGAGCAAGCCTTGTTTCATACTGCCTCACCACAACAGACACAATCACCCAGTCTTGTCTATCCACATCGCATATACCTTCACCCAATGAGACCCCTCACATTAATTTCTCTTGCACATCGGCACAATGGAACTCGTTTCGTTCGACCGATATGTCAAAACACGGTGCATAAGAACCCTCATCTTCTTCGCTTGATGAATGCGGATTTTGAGCTCGTTATTGACTTCATTTAGTTTAGTGCAGTAGAGGTACTCAGTAGGTCTCACAATTGTCTCTGCTCTGGTCGTACACCCTTGGGGACTCTTTTTGTTATGACTAGTCACTATTCACTGAATATTCACTCGGATTCACTCCTTTCACTTCCCCTCTGAACCACCCGACGTCAGTCAAGGGGAACGACGAAACAGACTTTACACTGGTACGCGGTGGTGTAGAGGAAGAACGGTCGAGGCCATTGCTTTCCACGTAGCCCTGGTGAGTTCAAGGGGTGTAGATGGACCAAATCTAAGGATAGACTGATAGATGGATAGACAGCAGCATTGGAGAGAGATAGGATAGAAGATGGGTAGGACCAATGGCTTGATCGATGTAGAGACCCATCCTGGGTGTGCGCTTCGACTGCTTAAGGTAAGGTAGGTGGACTGGCGATCCATCGTGGATGGATCGGTTGTCGACCCTCAGTGTGTCCATCTAAGTGGCATGGATGATGCAGGGACGGTCTCCACCAACCGTCAGACTTCAGCGCTCGGACTTGCACGTCCAGGAACAGGACTCCTAGACCCCCCCTCCCAACAAGTGCTGGTATCGTGAGTGCCAGGTGCGGTGTTTTTCTTTTCTTCTTGCGTCAGCCAGAAAGAACCCTGGAAGTCCAGTAAATGACTCATCCACTACACCCCCCACCAGTGGTGGGGCTTGGTGACCCGCGCCCCGACGCCATAGGCGGGCGCCCGACGCGATGCCGAGCCCGCGGAGCTGGTGGGCGAGCCGCCTGCGGAGTTGGGTGGCGTGTCCTGGCGGCCAAGGGGAAGAGATCAATCTGAAGGAAAAGGGGAAGAGACATCGAGTGGTTTTTCCGATGTGTTGATTCCAATGTCGTTTTCTTCCTGGAGGAGTGATCAATGAACGGAACACATTTCACCAGGTATTTAGATGGTCCATGTGGTTAGTGCAAGGAGAGTCCAGTCTCAGGTCTGTGGTCCCTGGCCTTCGTTGTGGCTCCAGGGGGTCGGCAAGAGTGGATCTGTGTGAGTACAGTATTTGCTTCTTGGGTGCTTCACAGCCCAAAAGCCCCATACCATCCTATACCAGTTTTGAGTCCAGGCAGAGCGTTTTGGCATCTCCAAAGCCAAGCGGCACACCTTCAGCGCTGCGACGGACAGAGCTCTCTACAAGCTAAATCATTTTGGTTGGTCATCCACCTATTCCAGTTATTTGCAGACCTTTGTCCCCAAAGCATGGGAACGGTGGGCACAGATTGGTGAACCAAAGAACCATGACATCTCAAAGTTTCGTCCTTTTTTTGGGCCTCCGAGGGCCTGGCAAGCTTCGACCTGTGATGTTTGGAGCGTTTTGGGGCGGAGGATCGAAGGGCATCCGGGCCCTGGGTAAGGGGCATTGGGTTGATGACAGATGGGATAGGTCAACTCCACAACCAGACAGAGCATCCGGGCTGCTGATCCCCCATCCAGGAACAAGTTTCAAGGGTCTTCCAGTCCCTAGTCTGGGCTTCTCTTGGGAAGTCGCCTCCTCTGGAAGAGAAGAAGCGGCAAACGGAAGAAACCAGGAGTTCGTAGGGGTGACGAACTTGGAGCGGCCTCCTCGCACCACGATGGCCTCCTCCGGTGCCCAACGCCGTTCGGTCCCACGCACCGCGGCGCTCAGCTTCAGCCTCGTGATGCTCGCAGAGCCCGGGGGACCAGTACCCGTGAGACGGAGGTCACGTCATCTTCGAGGGTTACGTCATCCTGGCAGGTTTGGGGAAGCATGGAACTCTCGGGTCCCAAGGTGGAAGACCCTTTACACACCTTGCAGGCTGTGGTTTTCCTGTTCAGTAGAGCTTCATTTCACCCTGCGAAGCCAGTCAGTTCCCACCTTTTTCCTCAAAAAAAGGGATTTCCTGCACTGGTCAGAAGGTCGGCAGGTCGGTCATGTCTATGTCTGATCTGTTGGACCAGCAACCACCCGAGTCCACGGTGTTTTCGCATGGGGGTGCGACAGATCCCTCGAATGGGGTCGATGTCCCTCCAGGTCTTTCAAGTCGCTCTCCACCTCCCGATATCAGCACCCTCCGAATTGGAGGCTTTAGACTTAAAGGACACCCAGGTGCTTTTAGCCCATGGCAGCTTCCCTTTTCTCGGGTGTCACTCGCTGTGATCGACCGGTTGTGGTCAGATCTCTTCCAAGCGCCGAAACGGTGAAATGAAGTGAGGTCGGTTCACTCGGTTTCCATGGATGATTTACCTCGGCGTGGGGGGGGGGGTCCGGTGGGGACCCCGGTAAGTGAAGATCCAGAGCAGGTGGCCTCTGTTCCGCTCGTGAGGACCTTCATCGCCCGGTTGGGGATCCGTGAATTGGGACGCTGTGAAGATCCGGATGAACGGCTGGCCTGATCAGGCGGCGTTCTTTGAATGCACCTTTTGTTTTTTGCGAAAAGGATCACTCGCCCGGGATGTTGGAACATTGGCACCGGATCCATTCTCCAGGTGAATCCGGTCTGCCATGTGTCGCTCCTGCCTTCGTTCGCGCCCCTCCGCCTCGCCTTGCCTGCCTGCTTCTTCGGCTCCAGAATCCCTTGGTTGGAAGGGAGAGATTGTCTCAGCCTAGGGGTGAATCTTGGGGCGCGCATTCCATCGCCTCCAACAATGCCGATGACTTACCAGGCGACGAAATCGCGGACTCCGAGAACAACGGACTACGGACTCGGTCCACGTCGGATCGCCGTTTTTGCACTAGAAGGCTCACTGAAGTATATAGGTTCCCACAAGTATCTTTGCACCTACACAAGCCTGCTCACCTGGTTGGTTGAGCCAAGCTATCAAGATCATAAGATAGACTTGATGGTGTTCCATTGCTTCATTTTTGCTCCACGGATTTTGCAATTCTTTTTTGCATCGGAAAGCAAGTCACCTCACGTGTGCCACCAGCTTCGTTAAGTCCAGTAGACTCAAACCACCCTCACAATGACATGCCTGTAGGGGGGTGCCCACACAGAGGTGGATATATCGGATATGTCAGGTATGTCACGTGGGTAAGGGATACTTCAGCGAAAGTCTTCGTCCTCTCGGTCAATCTCTGCAGCTGATAGCAGTGGTCTAGAAGTCCGGTTCGACCACTTACTTCCTCCGTGAAGTAGTATAGAAAAAAACCCGAAAATCATCTCATCTCCCCAGACTTCAGTCCATTCCTTTTTTTGTAGTTGACTTCCACTTGCTTCTTCTGTTCGTGACCGAGCTTGATCCCCCTTGGTTCGGTCACCAGGCCTGGTCACCAACGGTTGACTCCCTCTGGCAGGGATCAGTTGTTTTCACTTTGCCCGAATTGTCTCCATCCCTAAGGTAGCAGTTCGTCGGTTCGTCTCTCAACTCTCCAACAGGTCTTTCCTGTCGTCCGGTGCCCAGGTGAACCACCCGAACTAGATAGCGCCATCATCGCCCTTCTTTCACCTCTCCAGTTGTCCATGTCGACCGAAGCGGACTGGTGATTGGACCCCCCCGGGACACGCGGAGGGGTCGTCCTGGTGGCAGGTACCCTCAGCAGTTCAAGCCGATCGTCGGGGAGAGTGGAAGGACTATGACCCCGACCGCACCTCGACTGCACGGCACCGGAGATCGCGACCGGAACGGGGTCGTTTCTTCCGGAAGGAACTCTCTGACCGGTGGAGACGGTGGTCCGAAGGCGGTTGGGTCCACAGAGGGACCTTCCGTTTGAGGTGTCTATAAATAGCCTCTTAGAGGTTAAGTGGAGTCCATGGTTTTGCTTCACAGAGACCATGAAAATGCCGCCGTCTGGGCCGACGTTCTCAAAAGTCTCTGGTTTCCTGGGAGATCCCTTGCACCGCCCTTTGTCGCGACTTCCGTGGCACGCACGACCTGCAGCGACACGTTCCGCTGAAAAACGAGGCGATGACTATGACCCTTGCACGGCCGTGCTGCTTCCGCCGCCGGCCGACGCGAATGAGTTGTTCCGCCGACAGGATCGGTCACGGGCGGGCGGTCACGGGAACGGGCGGTATGGCGGGCCATGGTGGGAGGGAGGTCGCTGATGGTCGTTGGGATCCCTGCAAAGCTGTGGTGAGAGTGGACGTGGCGGTGGAAGGGTGAATTCTGTGGCTAGATGAGGGATGGTATGATGGGATAGGTTGGCCCATAGCTTCGCCTCTTGGGGCCCCGGAAAGAACCGCAAACAGTGAACTCAAAAGCCACTGTGGTGCAGATCCCATTGTTTTGAAGGGAAGCGTAGGGTGCTATGGGTGGTTCTCGTACCATTCTCGCAGTCAGTCCTGCTACTGGATTTGCTAAAGGATCTAAAGGATCCCACTTTCTTCCGGATGACGACACACAAAAAGGAATACTGCAAACGCCTTTGACCCTCCAAAACCTTCAATTATCTTTGGAGTTCAAGGTCTTATAGTTCTCGCAGTTGGATCCCGAAAGGGGGTTGCGGTGTTCTGGTTGGCGCTTCTATCGCCTCTTGCCGTGGAAGGCCGGAGGAATGAATCCCGCGTCCGCTCGCTCTGTCTGCCCGGACAGCGCGCTGGCAGGTGATCCACCTCCAAAGTCGGATCCGCAAAGGTGGAAAGGAGAAAGTGCTGGCGCACTACCTCAAGGTGGTGGAGGCGCCTCCGAGCCCCGGACAGACCGGACGTATCCGGATGTGGTCTGAGACCAACTATCGGATGGACGGACCGTTGGAACGCGCGCGGTAGGGAGGTTGGCCATGGAAGTGCTCTTCTTCTTTTTGGGGAGACTTCGGAAGCGATGGAGCTTTGGCAAGTTGTAATTAGATGGGTCCACAAGCAAGCAGTAAGGTTTACGGCTGTCTTGGTCTCTTTTTTAGGGTGAGAAGTAACTATAGAACTTGATTGACCGGGACAACCAACTGGCCAAATCATTGACTTTCTTCCATCCTTTTCCAATCAAGGCAAAAGTAGATCAAGTGGGTTCTAGGTAGTTGTGTGTGGTATGGTCCTTTCTTTTTCCTTTGCTTCGCCAGGAAATGGAAAGGTCCATGAATCCAGACACCAAGGCACGGAAAGCCGCATGCAAACGGGAGGGGATGGGCTGATTGGCAATGTGCTTCGTTTGGGTTGCGAAGGATTGAGGGTTGAGGAAAGTGAGGCTTCTTCAGATCATCGAGCTTGAGTTCTGATTCAAGCCAACAGACCAAAGAATTCCGCTCTTGTGAGGAGGTCATGGTGGTGACGCAGTTCAAGAAGGAGTTCGAAGCCTTTTCCGGGGCGGCGCATGTGGAGGGGATCGCTGGTGGATTCCGGGAAGCTTCTGTCATCTTCTGTTATTCTTTTGCCCTTTCCTTCTCTTTCAATATAATGTTGGAGTCTTGGGGTTTCAACGAAAAGAACCACATCCTTCGGAAGAGATCTGGAACACGAGGGAATTGAGGTTTCTGAAATCTGCATGTGCCCCACTAGCATGGCCCACCCTTGGAGTCTCCGGACCTTGCCCGTGGTGCCCGGTGCAGGAGTTCTGTCACAAGAGGACGACCAGTGCAGCCTCCACCGCGGCCCCGGAAGGGCCCGAGCAGGCGAGGGGGTTGGGGTGCTTGGCTCCAAGCACGGGAAGCCTATGTAGAGGGAGTCTTGCAAGTGGATCTTTTCGCCAGATGCTTTGCTTTTTATATAGTTTTTGAATTAGGAGGGCGGAAAGATGACATGTCGGTGAGGAATCATGTGTGAGAATTGGTCGGCAACATCACAGATACAAATGCAGATCCTTTCCCAAACAAGGTCAGGGAAGCTGCCTTCCAAGACAACATTGGTTCCCTTCTGAAACTGCAGAATCCTTTTGAGGCTTCGATCAACACTATCAATATTCAAATTCCAAATAATATATCTCCATGTCCATTGGAGTACATTCTGGCACTTGCCAATAGGCATCCACTTCTCTTACAAAGTCTGCTTGGGAACCGCTTCTCAGACAGCTCGGCGCTCGCAGCGGCAGCCCAGCTCGGCATCGACCCGTGGCGATCGACCCGTGGCGCTGGTGAGGTAGACGATTTGGAGGAAGACCACGAGGATGAAGAGGAGTTGGGCTGGAGCCGGGCCGTGACTTCGTGGGATGATACCAAGGGGGAGGTGCCCGGGCGAAAATGCTGGGCAGGTCCATACTAAGACAAGACAAGACCAGACAAGACAAGCAAGACAACTATACTACATTACAAGACTAAGTGTTTTGAATGATAATTTCGATCCATTGTTTTGGTGATTTGTGGTCAGCTGGCCGGTGATATCTCGATGGTAGCTCGAGCAATCTGGTAGGACCTCCAAAAAGAAACAGATTGATGGGTCTTGCTGCCACATCCAGTGGACTGTATTCGCCACTCCACGCAACTGAGTTACTTTCATTTTCCAGCTTTCTTCCCACAGATTGTGCATGTCAGTTGATATGCTTGCCGGCTTCAATGGGAAGAGACGTTTCCTCGTCGGTGAATTGGTCTCCAGACTACTCCGTCCGGTGGGGGGCGATTCGAGTCGCCGACTCGATCCTAAGAGGTAGACCCGGTGAATCAGAGGTGCTCCTTCACCCCCTAGCGATTTCCTTTGCATTTCAGCCACCGATCAGCCCTTTTTTTCACGTCTTCGTCGCTGCTTTCCGTCTTCGTCTTCGTCCGCAGGAAGAAGCAGACATTCCGCTGGAAGGCGCCCATGTGGCCACCACACGAGCGTTCACCAAGAAGTCCTTGCCCGGTTGGACTCTGAGCTTTTCGGTTGGCGTAGAGAGCGTTGCAAGGACCGAAGAGGACGTCGAATCCGGACCGGCAGAATTTGGGTGATTGCCTTGGTGATTTGAGCGACGTGGAAGTGGATGGCCATCCACCCTGAACAGAAGACAACGAGGAATTCTACGAACCAGGGGGGGGTGGTTCTCCAGGAAACCATGTGATGTGTATCGTCCGATGTGTATCGTCCAGCTCTCTTCGGAGGACCTTAAGGTCGAACGAGCTGCCTCTCGGAAGACCGAACTTGGGTGGTCTTTGGACCGCACCCCTTATTGTCGGTTGTAGCCTGGGACAGGCTCAAAGCGAGGTGGACAATAGGTATGTGGCGTCGACCACTTTTAGTCTTATCCTCCATTCACCATCATTCACCCTTTTTACCACTGGAAGTCTTTGGACGCTTCTTCTCGGACCAAGGCTTCACTTCGAAAACCACCTAAGAATCGAAACTCCAGGGTCGTAGAGACTGTCTCTACACAGTGGGGATTGAAACTGCATCTAGATCGGATTCTGGATTCTCATTGCCAGATGTTTACTCCATGGACGATCCGGCTGCTTCGGGCAATGCGAGGCTTCGTGGACTGGTGAGGTTCATTCGTGGTAACGTTTAGCGACGGGACTTGCTACCTGAGAAGTCCAGAAATTCTTGGGGGTTTTCAGTTCGGACTGTTCTGAGAGCTCCGAGGCCATCCCAACATGCCCAAGTCAGGAGGCTGGGTGGCGGGGAGGAAGGGAGGCTGGGTTATTTTCTGCGACGATTTCTTTCTGTGACCAAACCTCTACACCAATCCCGTGGTCAGTGAAAGAAGAGGCCCTTTAGAGGTGAACTGGGGCCTTCACTCCGGCTCCACAGACCTTCACCTTTTTTTTCTGGAAACGGATCTGGGACACCTTCCAACTGCAGGATCCGCCCGCAACAAGGGTGTTGTTAAAACAACGGGGGCACGCGTGGCAGCACCAATGCAGTACCTATAGGTTTGAATCAGGGAAGAAAGTACCATAGGTCTCTGAAACACATGGGGAATTGTATTGCTTTGACGTGCCTTTTTGGGCTTTCGGGGGTTTGGGAGGCCGTTGATGGTATGCGGCCCACCTCGTATGGAGCCATTCAACCAAGTAAAGTCAGGATGTTTCTGTGATCTATTCCTTTCAGGTCTCAAAGCAACCCAAGAAGAAAAACATACAAGTTCCTTCAGTGAACCACTGACCAAGAAAGCGTTGCTTGGGATTTGGGATCTTCTTGGCCAATGCAAACACCTCCGGCACTCCATCAGACTCCCGCCGCTCCACGGTGGCTGTTCAGCTCGAGCTGGTCGGAACCGTCGCATCGAGCTGCGTCCATCCCTTCTAAGTCCGTGGCCTCTCCTCGGCCGACGCGACCCGAGTCCGCGCGGGGTCTCGGCAGAGACCCGCTCGCGCCCGGGACGTCGCGTCGCATCCGAGTCTTCATATGCTGCTCAGGCGAGCGAAGCGGGGAAGCGGGGGGGATCCAGGGCAGTGGCGGTCGGCGGTCTGGGTTTTGTTGGATGAATCACTCAGACAGGTGGATGGGAAGTGGCGACAACTGGATCGGCGGGGCATCCGATAAAGGACATCCGGTGGTGGTTTCTCACACGAGATGAACCTTCTCAGGGCGAAGTGTTGTTTCCTGGCCAAGTAATTGGTTTTATAAGGTTTTATACAGTGCTGAAACATGTTCTTAGTAGGCGTAAATGTGCTGTGTCTGACTGGTCGGGGAACTGTCTGATTTCCACACACACACACACGTGTTGAACACAAACAAACGAGCTCCATTGGCGTCCACCTTGAATTCACCGGCAAACGAGCTCCGAAGGTGGTTGCTGCTGCAGCCCCTTGCCGTCGCGGTCGCCCGCGTGCTGCTCTTCTGGCCGGTGGACGATAGTGAGCGAACCCAGAGGCTCATTAAGGCCAATGTGCGGCACGCCGAGGAGATCAATGGGGTGCCAGGTAGGAGGCCTCGGCGTGCCAGGTGGTGGGAGGCCTCAAGTTCTCTGTTTTTGCTTGTTCCCATAGATGCATTTGAGACGAGCCAGACCTATAATGAATATTAAGAAGTGCTCTGAGGCTGAGTTGCCTTTAGAGATTTCGCGCCTGCAGGAGCAAAAGATTGAGTTCGAGGTGATCTTGGCACACTACCGTGGCTTCAAAGAGAACTGGGACCAGGACTGAGCCCAGATTGATACCGATGGTCAGGTCTGAGCCCAGGTTTCCGCGTTTGAAGCGAAACATCAGTCTTTAGGCCGGTTCTCGCCTAAACCAAACCAGCTCATAGCGACCCTAGGGAAGAGACGCACTCAATTCCTGAGACAGCAAAAGCAAGCTGAACCCAAAGCTCTGGTCATGCCAGGAGGAATTTTCACGGACATCAACAGGACACACCATTTACCGACACCTGGGGGTCTGTCTTTTCCAGATGTCTTTTTTTGGGGACACCTCCTGTGGAAGACATCGCAGGTTCGCGGGTTTTTCGGAGCAACGGGAGTGCAGGAGTGGTATCAGAAGTATGTGGTCCAGTCGCTGAACGGCACAGGCCGGGGGCCACACACGCCATCTGAAAGAGGGGGATCTGAAGTCCACTTTGGGGGCCGGTTTCACAGAGCGTTGGGCTGGGTTTGAATGGTGCCATCACCTTTGGGAACACAGCTCCAAGGCATCTTCTTGAGACCAAAACCCATGTCCAGGCACCAGCCTGACACCCACACAGGCTTATTGATGAATACTCTTCTTTGTTGTCATGCCCTCTGACCACCTGTGCTTGTTTTCAGCATGGCATTGGGCTTTAATGGCCATTGTCCAAAGGAGGCTTCTTGGCCAGAGGCTTCAAATGAAAAGGCTTTAGATGAAAAGGCTTTTGGGCAGGCTTTAAATGAAAAGGCCACTTGAACGAGGCAGTGGCTAAAGAGGTTCTTTGGGTCCATCCTTGCGCCAGTGGGTAAAGAGCGTTTTCGAGATGCGACACTTTTGTTTCTTCTGGCGCCCACAGCCGCAAGTACGTCAGGATTTCCTTGTTGAATTGCTTTCGGTTTCGTCCGTGCCCCTGGTGCCAACCTGAACCAATGTGTGAGTCACACGTGGTGCTTGAGAAGGGCTCCCAAATCACCCGAACCTGCCTTCCCCGCAGCTCTTGTCCGGTCGTCCATGGTCTCTCCACGGGGAGGTCGCAGTCAGGTCCGCCGCAGCGTCGGAAGGTGGGTGGGTCAGACCGGGTGTCACGTCCGTTGGGTGTCTGGAGTTGGGAAGGTGTTTGTCGTCCCATCGTGGGCGGCCGTGGGATGGGACAGGGGACACCCCCGATCCTTCCGTTCGGATCCGGCATCCCACATGTGACGCCTTGAGAGGCTACAAGTTCCACTTCTTGCGCTCGGCCTACCTCAAGCAGGCCCAAGAGATGCCAAGAATTCGTTTTTTGCGCTGGTGAGGGTGTCCCAAAAGAGGGCGACGACGCTGGTTTTTTACCTCGGGGTGGTGGGTCCAGTTTGATGGAGGACATGCCAAGACCCAATGCGAAACCCAGTGTATCCCAGTTATCACTATATCCAGGGTGTCTAGGTCTACAGTCTACGGTCTATGGTTGTAGAAATTTGGAACCACTGAAACTCCCAGCGAGCTCTCGTGGGAACGGATCCTGGATCCACTGGGGATAAGGCAAGCAGAGACAGCAGACATGGTGATGGGGCTTGGATTGGGATGTTTGGGTGATTTTGACAGTGGAATTGCTGAGGAAGACTGTTGCAGATGATGAGACACTTTCTGAGCACACCTGATTTGATCACTTTTCCGCAGTGGATCCTACTGCTACAGATAGTACCTCTGGACTCGTTGCAAAAAGAATTCTCCCTCAGATCGGCCGGTGTTCCGTTCCAGCAGAACAGCCGGAGATCCAGATGTTTCCCAACTTTCCCACCCTTTCTGTCAAAAGGCTGAAGCCTGGGACAAGCGTTACGAGTTCATCTGGGCACTGGACAGCGACATCGACATCTCTCGTGCCGACGCTTCGCTGGAGTTCAGGATGGAGCGAAATCGGAGCGAAATCGGGCTGGGGCCACTTGGAGCGAGGGTTTCACTCACCCCAACTCCAGACCTTCAAATCTATCACTCCCAGCTTATGGACTGTTCTTCTCATCATCCATTTTTATGGGTCCAATGGCAGCCACTCCTGCAAACGCCGAAGGACTTGACTTACCTCGACCACGCGACCAACTGGCACGGCGCAGCGCCGTCGTCCGTCGTCCGTGGTTCTGCGTGCTGCGGTGCTCCGGTCGTCTCCGCCGGCCCCCGAGGACCTGTCACAGTTCTTAGAGATCGCTCGGGCGCTCGACTCCTTGAGACTTGGAGGAAGGGACGGGGGTCGGAGGGAGAGGAGAGATGGGCCTACAGTGCTTGGGGTTTGTCCTATCAAAAAAACTGTAGAAGTGGGTCAACAAGAACATCCCTATTTTAGAGAAGGGCTTCTCCTAACGGTCATCATCCACTGTTACTGGTAATGGGATAGAGCCAAGACATGTAGTCTAGTGATAGAGGGGCTGAGGTTTTCTCTTCTATGTCGACAGAGGGGACTGCTAAGACTTGGGATCTGGGCCGGGTGGATGGTGATAGGCCACCGTCCTGTTTCTGTCAGAATTGGGTTGTCAAATGCTTCAGGGTCTTACAGGATAGAAACGGGATGAACCGGTGGCCTATCAAGACTCTCTAAACACCATCACACCAAAGTGGTAGGTAAACTCACTGTGCCTTCAAGTCTATGTGTGTTCACCTTGGTGGATAACCACCTTAAACACCATCAATATCCCAACTTGAGTTTGGTACCAGGCTGAGAACCGCCTGTTTAATTCCTCCGTAGTCAGGAATGGGGAGCCACACAAGGATGGTTGGGTCAGGCGTGCATGTATGTGGGGACTAGGGTAAGTCCTGGTTTCGCCTCTTCTTCCCTATTTGGAGCACAGGTTTGCATGTACCTGCGGAATGGGGGAGTCATTCCTGGTTCCAAAATTCAAAAGGGAAAAGGGCCCCTTCAGGGGCCCTTCAGGGGGCCCTTTCCCTTTTTTTTTGAGCGCGCTGTTATTTTATGTATTTGCAAAGGGAACACTGTGCTCGTTTTTGGGTGCCAAATTTTTGGTTTTGGGCTTAGGGCAAATGGCGCAAAACCGTTAGGCTTGGGCTACTGTACAACTCAGAAAGCTCTGGCTCTAACTGTGAACCCCTCTGTGCCACTGAGAGAAGGTCAGCAGGTTCGAGGATAGAACTCTTCTGTGGCCCCCCAAATCAAACAGGTTAAGAGGTGAAACAGGAGCTGTTGTTTCAGGAGTGGCAAGTGGCTAAGCCTAGGACCCCATTGTTTCAACATTTCAGGACCAAACCTTGTCTGGCCCCAGAGGCAGGTTTCCTCATGACCTAGCCCCTGCCATGGCTGATCCTGTGGTGGGAAGGTTTATCAATTTTCTCAGGGGCAGCACAAGGCCTTCCAGCCCAATACCCCCGGACAAAGAAGCAGAAACCCTAGCAAGCATCAAGGGCCACAGGAACCAGACATCGACATGACCCTTCAGAGGAATTGCCAGTTGGCCCATACTTGGACTACCAGCTGTACCAAACCCTCAAGGTGGTACCAGAAAAGCCTGGCAATTTGATCCAAGTTGTGAATCACCTTATGGTTGTGTGGGTAGAAGGACTTGGAGGAAGAGAGGGGGTCGGAGGGAGAGGAGAGACGGGCCTACAGTGTTTGGGGTTTGTCCTATCAAAAAAAACTGTACAAGTGGGTCAACAAGAACATCCCTATTTTAGAGAAGGGCCTCTACTAACTGTCATCATCCACTGTTACTGGTAATAGGATAGAGCCAAAACCTAGAGGCAATGCCACTTCCACGATGGCACCAGCTAAGTGCACATTTAGCGATTGAACGACGCCTTGATGAGGAGCTTGCCATCATCACAGTTTGTTTTTGTTGATCAAGTTGTAGTGACACGGAGAATGACAGTGCATTGAAGGTGGGCCACCTCAACTCACTTGTGCATCTGCGCTTGTTTGTGCAGACAGTGCAATAACAAGTGTTGTCACCGACGCACGCGAAGCGAAGTGAGGATCATTGGTCCCACCTTTCTGGAAGGAAAGACGGGCCCAAGCTTCTTACAGGCTAGACCGGGTCGTGCGCGGCGTACGTTGCCGCGGTGTGTCTATATCTTCTTCAGCGGCCTGTTGTGATGGTCTTCGTGGCTTTTCTGACCTCGACTCGTCTCTCGTTGGAGCGTGTTCGAGGTTGAGGTATTCTTTCTTTTTCCCGGTGGAGTTCGGATCCCAAATTCCAATGGCAGAACTTTCTGTTTTGTTTGGGTGTACACCCCTTGGAAAAACGTCATGGTTCTGTGCATGGGGAAGTTTCTGGCCTCTCCCTCTCCCTGCTTTTTCGAAGACCAGACGGGCGGTGAACTCTTTGGTCCTTGCCATTTCCGATTTCAAAAAGTGTTTCTTCTTCTTTGGGCGAAGAGACGCACCCAGACGCGGACTCCCAGCCCGCGAATTTTCTTGGCAAATTCTGTCAGACGCCAGGAGCGGCTCTTCACGAGCGCGGGTGCGCGCACACAGCCCAAGGCCGACCAGGCGTGGGTCTTTTCCTGTTGGTCATGCGCAGCTAGCTAACTCCGGGTCCGTCATGTTCTTTTTGTGATGTTGCTCAGCCTGGTGGCGGATCCTTTTCTCATGTTTCCAAGTCTTGTGGATCACCACAACTGGCCCCGTCTGAGAGTGGACAGGCCCGATGTAGGTCGGGTGGATCACCACGATCAAAGAGAGAGGTCCCAACCGGTCTGCTTTCTGCGACATGGAAGTCTCCGAAAGCCACCCATGTCGGAGACCTACACCGAGTCGGGGGTGCTGGTAGTTGATGCATTGTTCAGGTCACCAAAGTCTCTTCTTTCCAAACTGAGAGGGGGTCATTGTTTGATGGTTTACGAACAATCAGCACACTGTGCAGGACCCACTCATACACCACCTGTGCTTCTTCGTCTCGCAGCAAGGCACTGGCGCTGGGCGGCTTTGGCCTCAATAAGATGCAGCGGCCCAACCCTGCTTGTGACTTGGCGATGGATCCGTTGGGCGTACACACACAGACAGACACCCCACCTAATGCACACTATTACTCACTCTAACTCAGTTCCTCCGGTGCTGTTTGCTGCTCTCTTTGCCGCTGCTGCGGGTTGGCGCTGGTTCTCCTGGATCGCGGCCGCCCGTCCGCTACTGTGGCACACCGCAGGGCGAGATGACGTCCGTGAAGTCGCCGTGCCGTAAAAATCGTGGTGCGGCCTCCGTGAAAAGCGCGTTTGCGTGGCTTTGTGCCATTCACAATGAACGTGCGTGCGTCAATGCAGTCGTGCCGTGCCATCAGTGGGAGGATTTGTGGTAGAAAAACGCGGCGAAATGACGTTTGTGAGATCGCTGTAGCCGGTAGCCATGTGGTTTGGTGCGGCCTCGGGGGATTCGGTGCGCTGTTCCGTGGCTTCCGGTGCCGTTGGTCAGGGCTCATGCGTGCGTGTGTAAACACGGCGTTTTCGCTGACGAGCTGGGAGGACTTGTGGTGTGTACATGACCAACATACACACATCACTCACCACCCTTTCAATCAAACAGACTTCACGGGCGCCTGAGACTGCTGGAAGGCTTGGTTAATGAAGGCTGGGCGTCTTCGCGTCTTCGCTATCGGGGCGGGGGCGAATTTGATCCACCCCCTTCTGTTCCGCACACCCAGGAGTGGGACGGGCCTTCAATAGGATCGAATTTCGATCACTTAGGCCGTAGGCCTTGAGCAGCGTGTCAAAAACCCATCGCTGCCAAATGAGATGCGAACATGCCCCACTATAGACTCCTGATAATGTATGGGCCGGGATTTTTCCAAATTGTATCGCATCCGAAGCTTCTGGAAGGCGATTACCGGCATACGGACTTCGTCGAGCTGACGGCCCCACTACTGAAGAGTGCCTTGGTAGCAATGGCAGGCGGTGCAGTAGGTGGTTCAGATTCTAGTTTAATGTTCGTAAGTGGCTTCAAAACACTTCGTATCAGAAATCCAGTCAATCTAAACAACACACAAATATATTGGTTACCGACGCGCACAAACCCACAAAGATGAGTTTCGGTTGTTTGAGATTTACCCGAAGGTCGCAAGGTAGGTTCACTGATGGAGGGGATGTTGACGATGCTCACATAGATCATGATGCATTTAATTTGTGGAGTGCAGACTGACCAGCCTGGAAGAGGTTTGCAAAAGTGTGTCTAGGGCTTATAGAGAAGGTCCTAAATTAAGTCAACAAACCGACAAGACAACTTGTGACTAGGATGTCTTCATTCCTCACATGGTGCTTTTGTCAAGGATTTTGTCACTGACACATTTCTCATCAATTCTCTACCAGGTTTCCATTTGATGCCAAAGGGCTCACATCAAAGTGATGACATGATTTTTCCCACCACGTTGATCCACTCTTCCCGAATGCCACTGTTACGGACCTTTCACTTCAATGCATTTCTACCCAGCCCCCAGTGCACCGAGTTCGCCGGAGTCGGTGAGGTGCGGCGTATCGGAGCATCTTGGGATGCGAGGATTGCATCTCACAGACCTCGGATTGGGGCCTTGATACGTTTCTTCTGCTGAAGATGGAGCTGGAAGGGCCGTGGAAAGGGGGGAAGGATGGAGAGGGTGTGCTTTGAGAGCCCGTTTAGTGCTTGAATATGTCGGCGGATGCGTGACCTGCAGTAGGTGTTTCAATGTTTCTTCTGTGTTTCCGTGACCGGCTGCCTTGGGCAGCCAACGGACTGCCTCCCTGCGACCCGGAAGAGCGCAGCGAGGTGAAGCGTCGCGGAGCGCTGAAGCCTCCCCCCCCCACCCGATTCGGGAGGGACCTGGCAGGGAAGCCACACATGTGAATATGGACGCAGCTGGACCAAATCCAAAGAGATAGGCATTTTTTAATGGATGGACAGCAGAAAGAGAGATGTAGACTAGGACAGATGGGTAGACTAGGACAGATGGGCCAGATGCTCTGTATTCGACGGATCAAGAAAAGGCAGATAGACATCGTGGATGGATCGGGTAGTCGATCCCAAGGATGTGGTGCAAGTGGCTTGGATGCAGGGAAGGTCGGACGACAGCAGTCGGACTTCCACGGTCCGGGGGGAAGCATCAAGAAAGAACCCTAGAAGTGCAGGAAAATGACTCATAGACTACCCTGACTACCCCCCCACCAGTGCTGGATCATGACTGCAAGGTGGGGTTTCCTATGAGTCAAAACGGAAGTTCTGGAAACGACACGAGGCGGACATTGTTGAGGAGTGGGTGTTTCGCTAAACAAAATCCTTACAACTAATAGTCAAGGTCCTTTCGCAGACATTCTGAGGAACTTCAAAGATATTTTTTTTCAGACAAAGAACTTCAAGAAGCGTGCAAAGAGGATTCTGTTGTCCCCGTAGCTTTTGGTCATCCAGCTCCTTGAGCTGTCCCAATCGCCCCCAGCCGTCGCTCGCTACGTTCGTTGGTCGCTTATGAGATGTCACAAGGGATTCACACCTGGGTTGGGAAACCACTGGAGAGCGTAGGATCTGGGGCGAAAGGAGTTTTGGAGTTTTTGATTTTCGGATCTATCTCGGACTATAATCAAAAGATGTCAAAAGGATCCTTGAGAAGAGTGGCCCAGAATTGCACCCAGAATCTTGAGCCATGCAAACACCAAAGTATTTGTTCAGACTGAGATTCTACACAAATTCTTGAAAGCGCAAGGTATGTGGCCGAACGGCACGGATGTGCGCTAGTCGCGTGGCTGGAGAGAGTGTTGGGTTGACGCTATCGACCAGTTGATGTGCTGTTTGAATGACTTTCGGAGGTCCCAAATGTGACTGAAGAACGATCTCGCTACGCCGACATGGGAGGAGAAGTCGTGTTTGACTCTTTCTGGATTTGCAATTTCTGACTCATGTCAGGAGTTTTCCTGTTGTCTTGTCCGATCCCACACCATGCTACAACACTTGGAGCCTGGAATCTTGCTGTGGGAGGGACTGGATCCAAGAATTCACAGCCAGGATGAAGCCGGGGTTGATGAGGGATGCAGGCAAACACCTGCTTTTCATTGTGGTTGCGGGTCAAAGCAGCAAGAGATAGCACATGGTTTCAACAGACCATTCTCCATATCCTCTTAGGACATATCGGTATCTTGTGAAGCAACCCGGCTGAAGATGCTGTCCCAGCTCCTAAAGGCCCCTTTCTTTCACCACCACCGTTGCCGAATCCCGAAGAGACCAAAGAGACCGAAGAGACCAAGACCAAATCGGATCCGGGTGTCTCGAAGAGACGTCCTCACGAACGTCGACTCGTCCTCACTGGTCCTCACTGGTGAGGTTGACAAGACTCCCGTGATCCACCTGGATTGGCCCCTGGCGCGCATCAATGCTGGCTTCTATTTGTCCTTCCTGTCCATGCGGGCACGGTTCCAGAAGAACTGGACGCGCTACAAGGTCCTGGACTGCCAACGGCTGGGTGCCTGGGGCTGCTCAATTTAGGGGGTCAGAGCAGCTTTTTGAGTTTTGTGAAAAGAAGGTGACTGCAGGGATTGTTTCATGGATAAGAAAAAGGACAGGACACAAGTCAGGAGTGATCATAAGTGGTCATTTGTTTGATTAAGTGGGTTTGAGTCCCTCCAGAAGTTGCTTGGTATGGATACCTACAGTAATTGTTTCATTCCGAGGACCCCCCCCCCCATCCAAACTGGGACCCATTTCTTCCCCCGTCGGACGGACGGTGTGGGTTTCGTTGCCCGTCAACACCCGACCAGCACCCTCCCGAAGCACCGAACCAAATCCTCCGACGCCGCGGATTCCGAGGCCTTGGACCTCAGATCGCTGCGAAACAGTTGAGGGCCAAAGCCATCGCATGAGCCGCGATGCGCAGCGGACCGGAGCGAGCTCTCTTCTGGTGAGCCGAGTCCATGGCTTTGGCCGAGTCCACAGCTGAAGGAAGCAACTCTCCAAACATCATATCCACTAAAAATCCAAGCCTCCTCCTTCAGGCCTGTGTTGGGCTTGCGGTCAAGTCGATCAAGTCGCAAACATGAGACGTGGGGATGGAAGAATTGGAACTCGGAGTTCCGTTTTCCGTTTCCATTTTAGCACTCAGTCACAGGCCGGTCTAGACCGGTCGAACAGCAGCGCCACCAGGGTGAAGTTCTGTTCACGTACTTCCAAGCGACACCGCTTGCGTGCCCCGTTCTGGTGTCTTCCCCGGAAAGCCGGGGCAGATCCCAGCTGAAGAGGTGGCGGTGAGCCGAAAAGTCCTGGGCGGCCTTTTGGGCGCGGCGAAAGGTTCTTTTGTCGCCGCCCTGGGGGACGGATGAGGGGCGTTGAAGCTTAAAGCGCTTGCTAATCCTTACAACATGCTTCATGGGATGGGTCACTTGGCTGAGCCTGGCACAACATACCAATACATTCCATCGGTTTCACAACATGAATACAGGGTTTCACTCACTGAGCTTGATTGAATCTCGCCCACCTGCACAAATGCACTTCCCACTGAATCATCCAACTGGTTTCCCTGCCAGTTCCGCTTGGACAGACAGGGCGGGTGGGCGATCGAAGTCTCCTTCCCCGGTCGCGTGGGACCGCACGTTGGGCTGATCGTGCGCATGGGGTCGGAGACGGACAAGCACACGGAAAGGGGGAAGAGGGACCTGAAGCAAACCCTTTATATTGGAGGGCCCGGAATTCTTATAGGGTAAGATCCTTCCAAGCAGCAGGGGAAATGGCCGAACCTCCACCGTGCCGAACGTGGGCTCCGTGCCGTCCTTGTCGCGCAGGTGCGCCCTTGACCTTTGCCAGGCAGGTGGTCAAGTCGGATGGTCGGTTTCCGGGAACCTTCAAGTTTCGTGGTGGATTGGGGTGTTTGGTTGGGAACGGCACGTTTCCACACCTCAGACTCTGTTCTTCTGTAGAAGAAGAGTCCGGCTACGGATATGAACCATTTCGCGTTTTGATGCATTGATGCAATTTTGGCGGAAAGCTATGGATATTGAAACCCTCCAAGTGAAGTCATGTGCTTCGCCTATGTGCGAAGGGCTCTCCTAGTTGGAGAAACAGACTAGTACGTCTAGCAGTTTTGGGTGAACAATATGTGTATGTATATGCATTATATTATCAGAAAGGAGCGCTCTGAGCGGCGCGTTTTTGCATTGTTTCATTTTGTTTGTATTTTGTTTCTATATTTGTATTGTGTTTCTATTGATGTTTTGGAAAATTGGAATTTTAGAAAATTGGAATTTTGGATTTTTGTGATGTCCTGGGATATTTTTAAATTTTTCAATTTCCTTGGAAGTGAAAATTTTTCAAGCCTTGCACTGCGACGCAAACACGTTCCAGTGCTCAAAGATTGTTTGATCCAACTAAGCCATCCAGCCTTGCTGTGAACAGCCGAAACACAAAGCGTGGGTGTTGTTCATTGTTTTTCGGCCGTTTGCGGATTCCAAAGGGAAAATGTTTGATGTTTTCTATCCGCCTTTTGACATTTTCATCGAAAAACGCGCCGCTCACAGCGCTCCCCTCTCCAGATTATATCGATGTGGTAGTACATCTTGCGGACTTCTCAATGGGTGTTATGTGGTTGATCCGCCAGAGCTTCAGCTTGGTTTGCTCATGACCACCCCATACCTAGACCTTCTGCTCCGGTGCAAACTGTCTGCTTTTTTGCTCGGCTTGTAGATGACAAGGCAAAAATTCTGCACAGGAACGGAAGATCAAGGTATTCTACTTTCCTAAAATATTTTCGGTCCTGTACGTGCGGCCGTTCCAAGGTCACGAAGAACACCACGACCATTCCCGTCCATGGACGAAACCAAGGGAGGGAACTCAGTTGTTCACCCAGACCGGTCGAAAGTCGTCACATCTTCTTGGAGGAAACCATAAAGAACTTCCATTTTCCTGAGAGTCATGACTCATGACTCATGAACTACTCCGGCCTGGTAGTGGTGCAGTATGACTCCCAGGTGTGTAAGAACATGAGTCAAGACGGAGGTTCTGGGCTTGAAATCCCTTTTTCCTTCCGCATCCGGTGGAGTCACCACGAAGCGATCTTCTCCTTAGGAGCCATACTCCCTGCACACCAGGCTTCACGTGGCCCAGCAGATGCACCCGGGCGCGATGCCGCAGCTGGCTCCGGTTTTTGCCGCTCCCGTGCGCGCAGCTCCGGTCCACTTGCGCCCTCTCTAAGTAGCTGGGGCGAAGACGAAGATCGCGACCACCGGACCGGGTGGGGCCGGGCGACTTTTTCAACGGTGACAATGATCTGCCGATAGACAATGAATAGACTAGACGAGGTCAATGAAGTAGAGAACTGTAGTAGAGTGCCCTGGTACTTTTTGCCAAGACCTCTCGCCACTGCTGACTGTCTGCAAGCTGAAACATGGTCGTGAAACATGTTCAATAGATGTCATGAGTTCAGCATGGTCAGACTTTTTGCCAGGTAGCCTTGTTAGCATTTGTAGAAGTTTGTTACCCTTCATAAAGGAAAGTAGTATTCGAAGAGACCGTCTTCCACTTCCATGTTAGTGAGTCAGAGTGTAAATCGTCCCTTTGGACTATTCCTCTTCCATTGTCCGGTTCGACTGTTTGTGAAGGACACTTGATAGGCTCCTCTGCCGAAATGACCTCGGTTGGTATTGAAACTCTTGCTGTGGCATGTTTCGTTGCTCCAGAAAAATTGCCAAAGTTAAGTTTTCTGCTTTTTACCTACTTAATGCCACCTGCCATCTTGTGCCCAAGAAGACACTGTGTCCTGGAGGGAACTGACGCAGCAGGGCAGCTTGCGAGAGGTGGATACACAGACGCGCCCTGGTCTTCTAATGAAGATGCCTTTGGCCGAATTCAAAGATACACAGTACAAATGCAGTAGCCATTTCCTTCTCAGGAGAAAGCGCCGCAGATGTTGTTCTCAAAGCATCACCCATCATGGCTCTTCAGCCGAGACCGGTCGCGCCGAGACCGGTTGGCTGTGACCGGTTCTTTTGGGGCTCCCGAAGGGTTGAAGGGGATGTGCACAATATACATGAGGTAACGAGAGGTTTTCATTCTGAGGGTTTTGCTGGCATGGGTTCTGACCTCGTTCATGTTCTGGTTCACCCTATTTCCGATACCTCTTTGCAACTTGTGTGATAATTTAAGATGATTTATATAGTGTCCAGAGCCTGGGCCAAAGGACTGTGAACGGAAAGAGGAGAGGCGAGGCAGCTCCAAAATATATCAACATATGACTTTTTGTAGGAAACGACAACGAGGTGCCACGTTTTGGCCCCTCTGATACTATTCAAAAGAAGGCCTGTGGTCACATGCTGCATGAAGTAACAAGTAGTGCCACTGCTGCGTGCGCTCTTCTGAGCTAGCTTAAATCGGCATTGGACAATGCTTTCGACCACCAGAAGGCACGAGACTTCGGCGTTATGTCGGGACAGTCGACCAATGGATGGCGTGCCAATGAATAACGTGAACAATGTAGACTGGTTGATGGATCCAGAATGGTTTTACATGTTCATATGGGGGTTTTATATGGCTTTATTCATCAACAGTCTAGATCAGGTCTTTTGGATTTGGAGCTCATTCCTTAGCATTTGGCTCCCCACATTCGGCATTCGGCAAATCAAGATTGCTGCCGAACTAGGGGCATGGTGGTTTTTCTCTGGCATGAAACGCCACCTCAAACACTTGGTACTGTGGAATCGAACATTTTGGACTTCTCAAGTTTCCGTTTCAGCTCTGATGTCCTTTTTTTTTAGTGACCTCCCTCAGTAGAAGGCGGTATTGGAGGGTGGATCGTCGTGGGACCTGGGACCGGCGTTTCTTTGTTTGGCAGGCTTTCAGAGCTTTTTTTGGGATTTGGGGTGACATGACCAACAGTAAGAGGTGTCCCAAGCTAACAAGTCTGAGTGGGCACCACTCTGCCCACTGCTCGGGCCCCTCATAATGATTCGTGGATCGCGGGCACCTCATGTGGATCGTAGGCCCCAGCAAATCCCTCGGCACACATACTCCCTCATCCGTGAACATTCTCGGCTTGGATCCTTTAGTTTTTGGGGGAACAAACTCGGTGGAAGAAGCAGCACGCTTGCTTTTGGGATACAGGCCTGAGAAGTACGTCTTCAAAAGTGTCAGGGACCAATCTTCATTGGAGAAATGGGTTTCGGCTGTCGTGGTCAAGCGCCGAGCTCGAAAGGGTTCACGGGATGCAAATGCCATTAGCTCGATGCTGCACTGGCAGCGCTGCACAGCCCAGCGGGGAGTTGCCGGTCCAATGGAGCCTGAACGAGGGGCTCGTGGGGGTCTTCGTGTTTGGCCACCGAAGTTGGCTGAAGACGAACTGTGGCTGAAGACTTGGTTCAGTTTGACGAGTTGAATCACAGGTTAGACCTGAACAGAAGTGTTCGAGCAGCTGCGGTCCGAAAGCAACTCTTCCTTGTCGACTGATATGTATTTGGTTTCATTCTTGGCCCTGCCTCTCTTTGGCCTTCCCCGGAAAAAGCATCTCCGAACTGACTCTAGTTCAACCTGATAAATGGGAACGTCAAGTTCAAGTCAATCAATGCTCTTGCAGCTCTTGCTATGTTGTTGGAGATGCGTGAAGAGATGACACCGCCGACTATCGACTATCATCAACTTGGGTGGATGACTTGGGGCAACCTTGATTTTTTGTCCTTGGAAGGCCGGTCTTCCTTTTTGGGGCAACTTTTCGTAGGTCGGAAGGCCAGTCTCCTGTTGGACAGAGTCATTTCCATAGCAAGCACTTTGATTTACAAATCTCCAGTCGACCAGGCAAGACCTCTTTGACATGACAGTGATGTCGATTGCCACCCCCCATTGACGAGCCGCAGTCCAAATGCGCATCGCACGTGGCGTGGAT